TTTCAGATACCCTGGCAAGCATCATGGCAGAGGGATGGGAACTGTTACCAAGGAAATTTAGTGGAAGATTCTCAGAAGAGGCAAGCTCTCCTGGTCAGGCCTAGTGGCTGTGCTGCTGTCCACCGCCTGCCTAGCAGAAACCACCAATCAGGCCATCTACATCCCAAGAGAAACTGGCTTTGCATTCACCTCAATACGGCCCAGTGCTCTTCCACTGGTGCCAGGACAGCTGCTGCAATCTCTCTCGCAGCCAGTGCAAGTACAGCTGGAAATCAGTGACAGAGCAAAGACCTCACAAGACAGAAAAAGGAAGACAAAGTGCCATGCCAGCAATACAGCAGGGGAGTTGCTTAAAAGGCAAGTTTTCCTACACCCCTCATGGGCCGCAACGCTTCTCTCTAGCCTTTGCATAGTTTAGCAGATCTTTTGCAATCGTAGGTCTATAGTTACAAAAATGTACTTTGAATCCCATTTGCATGCTCTGCTACGCCATAATGACACATTCAAATGACTCTTGCAATGTATTTTGAACAAGTTGAACCCAGAACATCCAACATAGGATTTCCTCTTTCTCCTGCCCATCCCCTTCCTGTGTGTTTACGAAAAAATTTCACTTCCTCTGTGGCGCTGACACCAGCTCTGGCAATCACTTAACCCTCTTCTTCAGCTCTCGTCCGCTCAACACCTGAATCACAGCTACCCGAGGGCGTTCAGCACTTACTGAAGGGTTTTAGAAATCCCAGCAAGACACACGGTAAGGCTGGGCTTGCCCTGGAGAAAACCATTTTCTCTCTGCTGGATCTACTGAATGTAAGCCCCATGATGCTGGCAAGGGATACTCGAGCAGGCAATTTCAGTAAATGCAACAGATCCACTACCATCCAGATCTTTTCCTACTCAGTCAATACTATCAGGAAATAGCTTCTTTGCCTGAATAGAGTAAAACTCATAGGTCAGACCTACCGACTTATAAACACGTTATCATTATGTAGGAATTCACTCAAATATACTCTTTACCTTTTAATACTAATTTTGTTCTAAGCCCTTAGTACAGTCGTACATGGAAAGAACAAACCTGCTTAGCAGCCAAATATACTTCTGCACTAACTCCTGTAATGCCATATTGATTCAGTTTATGCCCAAGAAAAAGCTTGAGTAAGATTTCACCAAAAAATTGATCAAACAGGCTTGTATACATCTATCTGCCCAAACTAATGAAGGAAACACGGAAAGCAAAGCAATGTATTATAGATGCCACATCAGAAAGCCCACTTAACTAGCTGGTTTTATTGATGAACTTCCTGAAATGGCTTTCTGTTAAACCAACAAAGGAGTAGTTAAGAGCACATCCCAGAGGGATTCCATTCCCTCCAAATTTTTATCATGCCCAGACTTCCAGTAGCCCTCTAAAATAGAGAAAACCTCAGAAAACGCCATTCCAGAAGAGTTGCTACAACCCATGCTTCAACCCCTGTGGTGAGCTATCACCTTTTTCCAGTTTAAGATCACACAATCTGCTATCACAGGCACTTTCCAGAAATGGCTTGGTCACAAGAACGTGCACAGTAAAAAGCAGGCCTTTGCAGATTAAAGTAGCAAACTCTACAACATGTCAACCACAGTTTAGACAGGAAGAAGTAGCCTCGTGCTACACGCAGCAGAGACCATAGAGGAAGACGACCACATTGTTCAGACTGTTTATCATTAGAGTCCTTTGAACTGAAGAAGTAAGATAGTACGCTGCGCAAACACAGGAACCAATTGTAGATACTTAAGATGCCAGCAGTTTGAAAAAGATAAGGGATAGCAAACACTGGCCTGAAGGGTGCTAGTCTACCCTTGTTCCCCCAGAGAAATGAGATTGACCCATTCCCCCCCTTCACCTCGCCCTGGTCTCCTCCTCCTCCTTCTCTCCCCCACGAGGTGTGACTGTCAAAATACCGTCTCTCTTCTGATGTTTGCCTGACAAAAATAACTGATCTATCTAACTCTATGAGAAGTTCTTTAGGGCACACAACAAATACAAGTATTTCATAGGTATCTGGAGGAAATGCTTCCAACACAAGACGAATTCTGCCTTGGCATTTTGTTCCATGAACCCACATTTTCAGGAAAGATGCCGAACACGACCGTGAATGATTCAGCCTCGGAAATTACAGCATTTAATGACAATGTCAACAGGAAACGTATTTGAATCAGGCAAAAATAAATATGAAAGCACAGACCTTTCCATCCTTCCCTGTAGGACAATTAAGTTTAAACTAGGAACAGTCGCACTAAGGACAGTTACAATCTATTTGCCTTTTATTAGGAGAAGCTGATTTCTTGGAGAAGGTACCATTACAGTTTACAGTAGGGCAGTCTCCTTCTCCTTGTATGCTTCACTACAGACTGTTTTCATACGAATGTAATTTTACATTTTTTATCTACAGAGTTTCCTGTGGCATGGCTCGGCAAGCCTGGAAGCCTTTCTCTCTATACCATCCCTAGCACTCCTATGCTCCCATGAAAGAGGGGACACAAATAAATGGGAGAAATAGGAAGTAGAAATATGATCATTAGGAGAAAAATCCTAATTCTCAGCTGGGCAACTGGTTCTTCTACAGAATGAAGCTGTTCTTCTTAGAGATAGAAATCCTACGGGGGTAAAATAACAATAAACACTACTTAAAGAGAGTCACGTGGTTTGGTGTAATTGTTTACACACTCGGCTCCATAGCTTCAGAAGGAAGTATCACCTACTGCACACAAAGCTCGCACAGCCCTCAGGATCCCCGGCCAACGGGTTCTCTTCCCGTCCCTTGCATTAGCACCTGACAGCTCACATCCTTCAGGGATCACTGGTGCTGCAGAAAGGCACCTCTGTGTACAGCCATGCTGCCAGAGGAGAGTGCTTTAAATCCTACTCTACACCTAATGTCCACCCCATGCCTTTATTTATTTATTCATCATCTGCTTGTTTTCTGTGTTTGTTCAGTTTGGTAAAACTGGCTCTACCATTCCCTGGACGCAAGAAATAAAGTCACTCAGTCACTCAGAATATGCACATATGAGAAGGAGGAGAGACCTCACCCCCTCCCCAGATCACCTAGCCCTTTGAGAAAAACAAAAATTGGTTCACGGTCAACATGTTTCCATCCCAAAACCTCAAACATGCCCATTAGGATTCCAAATAACATGTGAAGTACAGATGGGAAAACATCTCCTTTCTGTGACAGAAATGGAATCATATCTGATATTAAATAGTGCAGTTGTTAAACTTTCCTGAATAGCTACAGAGAGGTCAAATGCTGCTCTCTGATGTGCAGCACTAGAAGGGCCAGATGGAGCGTCTCTGGTCTTGGGAGCCACCCCATGGAAGATCAGCTATTAAGCTGAGCCAGGAGAACCTTGGACCCTTTTCACTGCCCCTTTTAGGAATTGCTTCCCACAATACTTGCTGTTCTGCGATGCCATTTATCTTAGAAGAGCCAACAAGGCCGTAGGAAAATAGATCACTTCAATTACATAGACGAAATGGGAGGGGTGGGGAAGAAAGAGTTACTTACACATTCATAAATACTTAGGTATTCATAAATACACGCAAGAAAGCATTTCACATTTATGGAAACTCTCTTGAAAGGAAAACATTAAAAACCAGAATCCGGAATATTAAACATCTTAAAGGCAACGGGGTTTAACTTCGTATGTGAAAGTTTCATAATTTGTTGCATTGTCAGAAAAAGTCATTGCACAACTCCACCGGTCAAGGGACTTACAAGGAAAGGCCTAAGTCTTGCCTTGTGCTCTGTATATTTACATAGGAGAAAAAACCTTATTTACTCAAAAAAACTACAGGAGAAAAGCAGAATAACTTCAAGTCAACCAGCTACTGTACAAAGATGATTGTTCTACACCATTACAGTTAAAAAAAAAAAAATCTCCACAGCACACAGTTAAAATACATCTTTATGTTATTAAATCAAGAATTCCTTTTCTAACTAGTCTGTAGCTCACAAGGATGAACTGGAGAAAGAAAAAAGCTATAAATCTCAGAAGAGATCCATAGAATGAGACATCTGTTGATCTGAGAGTTCATTAATTTTAATCCTTGCCCAAGATTTCATAATGTCCTATTAACAGCATCTAGCTGATTTCCAGCCTGCCGCTACTTTTTCAGAGAAAACTATTTGATTCTTTTCTCATCCATACTTTCAGTGCTGTTGATGGTACCTCCTATAGAGATACAAAGTCCCAACACATAAAAGATAAGTAACACATACTTTGCATTCAACACTGGGTTGGACACAATTCGCACAAACATATTTTGACTAAACCTTCAGCAAAACTGAGCTACCTTTTCCCAAGCTAGCTTTGCAATTTCCCAACAAAAATCTTACTTTTTTTTTTTTTAATAACTCTTTAGTGATACTACGATGAGTGCAGACTTCTCTGTCTGGCACTTGTACTTTACAGCTACTTGCAACTAACATTAAGATCTCTAAATTACAAAAGTCTTCCAGGTACTTTATGGGATCGAGCTAAAAAATGTAATTTCCACTTTGTATTACAATGAGCGAAAATATGTTGGGATTGGTCAGGCTGTTTCTTTTCTTCAAAGGTGGGAATGGAAGGCAAGAGATGGGATATTGATGAAACGACAGAAGAAGAACCCAACCTTTGTGCTCCCTATGTATATCCACAGCGATACGATCTGGCTAACCAAGTTTAAGTGTTAATCTCTTTGGTCTTTAGTGCCAACAGAGGGGAGCGAAGCTGCAAGACGAGTTCCCGCAAACCCATTCACTGCAAACACATAAAAGATGCCGTTTCGACAGAAACTCTTAACTGCTTTACCGAAGCTAGGGCATCAGCTAGGGAGATCTAGCTTGACTTTCAGATCCTAAATTAAAATTGGAAGGAGAAGCCCCCTCAAGACCATTCCTTAGGCATAGGGTACCATTACAACAGCAAGCAGTAAGAAACACCGTGCGCCAAGCAGCACAATACCATTTTCTCACCTTTCTTTTAAGCTACAGCACATTCGAACATACAGCGAAGAGGAAGGAGCTCTAACTTGGGAAGACGCTCCAGGGATCACTCGCCTAGAAAAAAGCAGCGTAAGAAGGAACACCCAGGGGCCACATTATCTCTCCCAAGTCAAGGCTATCACCCTGGCTTGAAACACCGGCTGCAGGCTTTGCTCAGCTAATTTCACACGCTTTCCAGCACGAAACGGCCAGAAGGCACCCGAGCCCTCCGGACCATCGCAGAAGCCGGGCAAGGCGGCAAGAGGTAAATCAGGCTTTGGAGAATGATTTTTTTTTCTCCCTTTTCCTCC